AGTCAGATTCAATGGATTAGTTTCACGTTTTTAAAATCCATGCCCCTATCCATAAATAAAAAAAACGAATTACAGAAATTATAACGTCTTGAAAATCTTGCACTTCTATATGTTAACGTTATCTCAGTTACACATCTGTTTTAGGCGTGCCCATAAAGTAAACATATCAGCTTAAATTAACACTTCAGTAAAGATTCATAATGTGGAAAATAGCATCCCATAACGTTAGTAGTTTTGATAGAAAATTGACACGATCTTGCTGTGAAAATGTTGCTGGTGGTTTTTGGGATTCTTGAAAAATGTTACAGTGATGAAACACCTGGTGGTTCTTTGAGAAGTGGGAGTGTTTTCCCCCCCACTTCTCTGGTACTTACTAATTTGTAATACCCACTGCTATTTAACCCACAATGTGCACTTTTATTGCTTACCAGTTATTGTTGCCATTATTAAGAGTAAGACACTTTCCATATATGTGAATAATAGTGTCAAGTTAGTTCTGGTTATTCAGCCAACTCGATTACCTCAACCCTCCCTCCACACATACAACTTCACAGACTCCTTTTATGCAGAGATGTTTGATGTTAAAGCCAGTGAATGAGGTAGTTCGGCCTGTCATTGTGAAATATTACTTCTACGGGTGTTTCCCTGTCATTTGCAGAGTCCATATTTATTATCAGGTATGATGAACTTAACTAATATTCCAAGTTGGTAAACAAATCGCTTAAATCAGGGGTAATCGGAGTTACTGCTGACTCTCAAACTTTGTGCAAGTTTGTGTATTTATATTATTGATTTTTAAACAAGTCTACATTAAACCCTCTAGCACTCCTTTGCGCCCCCCTGGGGGTCTTCAAACCCCATTTTGAAAATGTCAGATTGAGCAGGAAGGTAATATCTCGAGAGCAGCACAAGGGCTGTTTTCATAGTAGGTTTGGTCCCTTTATTGAGGAAATACTTTCTTGTGAAGTGGAATTTTTGCTTCGGCTGCCAGATGTGTGAGTGCTTTGCATTCTTTGAAGTTGCTGTCTCTCAGATAGTAATTTTCAGAAACGCATGACACACACACACAAATTGTGGACCATAGATGTTTAAATTCTTCAATGAATTGAGTTTTTTGACAAAAGTTGGTCATGTTTTTTTTGTGTTTCAATAAAACTGGTTTACAAGCTGTGCTGCGAAAGCCACATTTGAACAAATTGTGGGTAACCAGCAACGTCATGCCTCATTATTACAAATTTCCAATGAGATGATATTAACATTATGGGTCTCTCATACCCCTTTTCCACCAGAATGGCTTGCGTTCTGTCTGTTGCGAATCGGCACAGGCTTGAGTGGAGTGAACGAACGGTGACGTAACACTACTGTGTTGTTCACCTGACTATAACCAGTCTAAAAAACATTGCACATCCCAATGTTTGTACAGGCAGTGCGGCCTTTTTGGAAATAAATTGAAACTGAAACTTGATTCACACTCTCTCTCTCGCATTGCCGGGTCTCTTTCTCGCACATAGTTTTATATTTAGATATAAAGAGTGCTATAGTGCAATGTTATTCGATTGCTCAATGAGACTGGTTCATCATTACTTTGCTCCCTGGCTCTGTTTGAGCAAGTTTTTAGGACATCTTTCCCTCCAGCAAACACCTTTTTTGCAGTTGAACCGTTTCGAGGAACTGCCCAATCTGGAATCGCTTCAGTTCAGTGGAAAGACACTTCCCAGATTGACTAACCAGCTTTGCAACGGCCCATAAAACTTCTCAAACCATGAACCGTAAAATGTCAGAAAATAATTAAAAATGTTTTTGTTACACAATATTAATTGAAATCTAAAAAAAAAAAAAAATGCTCAAACCCATGTTGTTCACAGGCACATGCTGAGTCTGACGTTCTCGAACACTGTAGGTTTTGAGGGTGTTGTCTGTGGACTGAGGAAGGTTTTTCTTTTCTTTTTTCCTGCATCCTGCTGGAATGCTGCGATTTCTGAAAGTTTGAGTCGGCAGTGTTCCAGATCAGCCCTGGTGAAGGCCCCTCTCTGAAGCTCATACGCCTTCATGATCTCCTCCTGCCCCTCGTAATACATTCTCTCCTTCTCCACTTCACTGTTTTCACCATTTCTCCTCGGTCACATGCTTGCATTTGTGGAGCAGGGCTCGACTCCAGGGAATGTGGCTGGATTTGCATTGTTCTTGCTTTGTCCCACTCAGTCTGAAAGTTTGCACTTATGCCTCCAGAATAATGGCACTATCACTGTGGCACATTTATTTTATAATCATTAACCTTATTGGTTTATCCAAATGAACGTCGCGTACCAGGCACGTTTCTTTTTAAACTCACCTAGTTGCCTCTGAGCTGTTTTGAGGTGTAGTAATAGTGTGTTATTATGGGCTTTGGGGATGTAAAGAATGCCCTCACATTATCTGTTAAATTAGTTGAAGTGTCTGAGGCAGTAGAGCTGTGATGGTGGCTTTTTTTCTTTTGGTTCATCTCTGTCTCTAATTTGAAGCATGCAGAATGCTAGAGACCTGTTGCCAAAAATAACACACCGGGTATTTTTTATTTTTTTGCCACCACACCTTTCATTCAAATCTGTTAAGAAAATTAGCAGCCTTCTCTCTTGTCTATGAATGTTATTATATTTCTCCTGATATTTCAAAGCAATTGACAATGATAGTAAAAGTTAGCCCGAGGAAAATGAAACTGAATTATTATTATTGGCGTAAGTGAAATGCGCTATATAAATAAGCTTGAGTATCTTAGCTTGCCTAATGAATACAAACTGTGTTAAAATCGAATATGAGGAAAGACAAAAATGCTGAAAAAACAGTAAAAACAGACAAGATATTTCTGAGGCCACGTTTACACAAAGCTGGGTATTTAGAGTAACAAATATTTTCCCCCTCTCCGCTTTCAATAATAACATCGTGCGCACACCCGCATAAATACGCCGTCGAGCGCCATCATATCTATGCCAAACCTATGGGCGGCAGTGTAGGAAGAAGGATAAAGCCATGCAAGCCAATCAGAATCGAGAAGAGAGAACCTAAAACGCAGTTTCTCCCAGTTGACACGACAACACATACTGCCGTTTTCAGAAATCTCGACTTTGGCCGGAGTTTTTAGAAAAAAACAGTTTCTGTGATTAAAAACAGGGTTTTCGTGTAAATGAGTGGCCAAACCGCAGGTTTTCCCTTCGTGTAAACGGGGTCAGCAGCTTGCGACCAACACATGGTGTGCCCTGTAAAATTTGCCAATAAACTTTACTCGCATATAATAAACCTTTATCAACTTCTGGTAAACTCAAAGCTCAAGCATGTGCGAGACAACGTGCGAGAACCAATTAGATTCATTCTCATGTGTTACGCAGCATCTTTGAGCTTCAGAAAGAACCAATGAGGTTTGTTGTCGTGCGTCAAGCCGGTTCGGTTGAGCTTCTGTTTATGTTCCCTGATCAATGTTTATATGTAGATAAAAGCCTAAATTAAATATGTTCATTATATAAAGCGATCGTGTCTCTTCAGAAAATTTATCGGCAGGCCGATATTAGGCATTTTCCAAACTATCGGTATCTGCATTTATAAGGCGCCACACATCCTGCATTTGTATTAAAACTCATAAATAACTAATGTTAGGGAAATCTGTTAATGTTTTTTTTTTCGCGTTTCTGAAAAAATATATATATCGGCCGATATATCGGATAATCGGAATATCGGATTTTAAAACGTAGCGCCCTTCAAAATCCTTTATCGGTCGGGCTCTACTAAACATATAGATTAGTTTTACGATCTCTTTATTATGAACTTTTTGAAGTGTCAAAGTGGTAGTTTTGTTTTTGAAAGTTTTGATCTTCATTTGTGTTCCGAAGATGAACTAAAGTCTTTTTTGGTTTGGAACAGTATGAGGGTAAATGAGAGTAAATGATCGATGACAGAATTGATTTTTGGGGGAACTATCCCTCTAAACCAAATTTTTGGCCTCATGTAGCCTAATCCTTATTCGTCAAAAAGTTTTGTACTTAACTAGTTTCCCAGTACCCACCTAAACTGAAACCTTTATTATTATTTGTTTTGCATGCCACACTATAATTAAGAGCTGTCAGGTGTATTTATACACCTGTTCTTCAAGTTCAAATACTTTACGGTATAATGTCATCTTAACATGTTTTATTACAGATAAATGTGCATTCCTGAGAACTGTGACTACTAAATTGAAAACGATAAACCGCGTGATGTATGATGTGACTCTTTGCTTCACAGAAAGCCACTAGAAAAACGGACAAAGTTCGTCCAGAGGATGTTGATGTCACTGAATTGAGCGATGAGGGTTTGAAAGACCTGTTGCTGAAGTATGGCCTGAATGCTGGACCTATTGTTGGTAAGCCGCTTTTGAGATTTAAACTCGAGGAAATATTTAGTTATATTGTACGTCTTCTTGGGTCATACGTTTACCTTAAAGTATTTGGGCACTTTATTGTATTGGATAACGAAATATCAAACTAAGTGCTAGCTATTTGTTAAAGACATAAAACACAAAATACACAAATTGAAACTAAAATACATGTATGGTTCAAAGTGAATATTAATTAATTAAGTCAATTAAAGTTGTTTGGCAATGTTTTTGAAGAAAGCTAATGTGTGAATCTGAGGAGAACTGACTTCATATTCCTTGAAACTGTAAAAACACCTGTAATAAATGGGGCATTTATGTGATAGGATATGTTGTTTGTATTTAACCATATTCACTTCATAGCCCTTAATCCTGTAATTGTGGACAAATGTGGGCACAGAGGACTGTGGTGTGATCCTAATTTTTGTTTATTATAAATGTTACATCACTGTCTTCGATAAAGTTTTGTCTATCCATTTTTGATGGGGTTTTTTTATTTTGGGGGTATTTTTGAATTTATTTACTTCAAAAAGTACCATATTTTCTATGTAAATTATGCTTATTTTTATGTTTTATTTTTTTTTATTTTTTGAACTACATTAAAATATCATCCCAATAGGTTCTTAGAGTGAAAACCTAAAGATGAAGTGACTTTGCTGTCACCTGGTGTTTTATTTTGGCTTATTTCAGAATGCTCCAAATTATAGTTTTTCCCATTCATTTCTATGGGTGCCCATTTTTGACCCAAATACAAGATTAAGGAGTTTTTTTTTTCACCCACTTAACATTGTAGAATTGAGTCAACAAAAAAATGTGTGTGTTCAGGAGGCGAACTTAGGAAAAGTAGCCAAGTCTTGTACCGCTCAGATCAAGGGAAGTATTTTTGAAAAATAAATTACAACTATTTTTTATTTTAGATTTATTTAAACAATGACTAGCCCAAATTTGAAGATGGATTTAATAATATGCAAATACATAAAGAAATAAATGTTGCAAATCTTGCGATAGAGTACAGTGAAAATGTAAACATACCATGCATAAAGCATGAAATACCTTTTTTTTTTCATGTTACATGGAGGATTTGAAATACCCCCTGAAATAGATTTTATAATGAAAAGCCCATTAAATATATGAAATGCGATATGTGCAAAAATCTTGTCTTGTCTTTCAGCAACTAAACAAAGTCTTTATTCTCTGGAATAATCTGAATTGTCTCGTGGTGTTGTACAAGGCTATCAGTAAATCAGCAGTTTCACCAGGCATTCAGCTTTGCATGTTTTTGCAATTCTGGCTTGAATAGTGTCCTTAAATGGATGTTGGAAAAGCCTTTCTCACGACTTGTTACGAATAAGCCCATATTATAACTTTTTTTTTCCATTTGAATCCACCTCTAAATGAAACGATATATTTCAGCTATGATGTTTGTCCTACTACTGCTTTGACATAAACAACAAATGTCTTCACATCAGCGTCCACTCGTAAGGTGTACGAGAAGAGGCTTCAGAAGCTGCTGGATCAGGGTCCTCCTGAAGCTGTGGCTCCTCTCTCAGAAACATCCCAGACAGACGGCGGCCAGAATGGCAACACAGACTCAGACCAGTACAGCGACAAGGAAGAAGGTAACAGACAAACAGATCCCTTTATTTAACCATGTTCTTATAGAAATAAATACGTCAAAATGCTCTCTTTTCTGTTCGTTAGAAACCGTAGCTCCAACCCCTGTGTCTCTGCCCGAACCTGAACCGGAAGTGGAGGTCGAACCCATCCCAGTTGTGGAGAGACCAGTCAGGAGCCGAGGGAAAACGCCAGTGACCAGCAGGACACGCAGTAGTCAGCTTAACAAGGTGAGGTGCATTATGTTGGCTCATGTTTTGATTTCTGAAGGATCATGTGTCACTTTGCCATTACAAAGAGTACATTTCATTTTGAAATGGACAAAAATAGGGTTTCTGCGGGTCCATTAGAGTCTCTAATCTAAGTCTTAAATTCGTAAAGTCGCTATTGGCCATCACCACGCCTACGTTATGAGGTAGCTCTGCACTGTTACACTACGTGAACTCAATCTGAGGCCCACATAGAAGAAAACGAATAGTTAAATGAAGTCGTTATTTTTGCACAAAGTATTCTCGTTGCTTGTTAAACTTAAGATTGAGTCACTGTAGTCACTTGGACTATTTTAACGATGTTTTTACTTTCTGGGCTGGCAAGTTTCAGTTACAATAGAAGCCTATGGAGGAGTGATCCAACTCTCAGATTTGATCAAAAATATCATAATTATGCGTTCCGAATATGAACAAAAGTCTTACCGGGTTGGATGACCATGAGGGTGAGTAATTACTGACAGAATTTTTGGGTGAACTGACCCTTTAATATCCATCCATGGTGGTTGTTTTCAGCCTCATCTTTCACAAGTTAAGCAAAAGGCTGACGATATGATGGTTCACATGATTTCAATTACAGTTAGCACCCCCACTGTCTTGTATTCCTTGCTTTTTTTCCTTTCTTTTTTTTACTTTAGCTTTGACTTGGTCTAGACTTTAATCCTCTTTTATTTTTGAATTCCCTCCTCTCCTTCGGAGACACTTGGTTTCTCATTCCTGTGATTTTACTCAGTCTCACAGCTCTGAAAACTCGAAGATCTTTGTTTAGGTCACTTGTAAACGACTAGCCAGGAGGATACTGTCTTCAAACACTTCTTGCTACTTTGCTCACATAAAAGCTGTTTAGGCAGTACAAGCAGCTCACATTAGTGTAAAGAATCAGTTCTTTAGTCTCTAACATGAACGGTTCTTTTCCCATGTGATGTTCCCACCTGCATATTTTCCCACCATTATCTGTTAAGAGTTCAGCAGCACCACCTGCTGTAGAAGAAATCTGACTGACTTCGGGTGGTCACACATTTAAATGTTGTCACACCACCTGTGAAGATCAGATAGGCCATTTGCTTCTCTATGGAAAGTTCTGGATCTTTTGCTTGTGACGTATAGGAGGATAAGCAGGAGGACGATTGGCCGGTTTTGAATGTTAAGAGAAAGCCGAAGAGATCTTCTCACAGGCTGGATCAGATGGTTCCCGCCAGCGACGACACCGTAACTCAATCTGTGGTTTTGTTATTAACAAACATCACCTGGTTTCTGGGTGTGGTAACTTTTGGGATCCGCACAAGGCGTGTTTTGGTTTGCACATGGGTGAACAGTGTTTGGTTGAGCCTTATATTTGTTTCACGAACTAACCGAGGCCGTAATGTACTTTGACTCAATTGTAAACAAGGTTTGTGTGAATGTCTGGTGTTTTCAGGAAAACTCTGAGCTCTCATCTGCAGAGTACTTCCCTGTTTCGCAAGACAGGAGAAGAACAGGACATGTGGTAGGTGGCTGTGACACTAGTGTAGCGCTAATGTTCAAAGTCAGGGATGGGGAAACTTTGGTCCTGGGGGCCACTGTCCTGCAGAGTATAGTTTTAACCCTAATCAAACACCTGAACAAGCTAGTCAATAGGTGTGTTTGACTTGAAGCAGCGCTGCGCAGACTAATCGTGTATGACATTAAAGTACAGCGAGACCAGGTGGCTCTTTATAGTTTAGTATCGCTCTTGCTGTTCTTTGATGCCAAACACCGATGACCGATTAGGCGAAGACGCCTAATGTCTTCGGGATTACCAGAACGCTACAGACTAGAGCCCGACCGATAAAGGATTTTGAAGGCCGATACCGATATTTTGGGGTTTTAAAATTCCGATATATCAGCCGATATTTTATTTATTTATTTGAAACTGGACATGATAGTCACAAATTTTGTCAGGCTTATTTGAGTTAAGAGAACTGATGGGGATGTTCTTTTAATTGTTATTCAAGAAATGTATGTATCGTGACCAACTCAACGAGTGTTGCCAACAGGAATGCCCTCTGGTGGACAAACTATACAACTCCAACACTCATGACATGGTTCAAGCGTGTTTTATCCGTTTTTATTTTATTTTTGAAATATTCATTTATCAGCCATTATAACTGCCGATACCGATAGTTTGGAAAATGCCTAATATCGGTCTGGCTCTACTACAGACAGGTGTTTTATATCAGGTTTGGTGCTAAACACTCCAGGGCAGTGTCCCATCCTTGGTCTAAATTATTAGCCTGACCTAAAAAAAAAAACCGCTTCTATCCTCCTATTAAAGGCAGAAAGAAAAGAGCCGAGACCATTGCTTAAAGACAGGACATCACAGCTCTCGTCTAAGACTGAATCTCTGAAGCGACGCAGCGCACCAGTCCGCTTGTTTCGGCCTGATTTGAACGAGGCTCCCGCCACTGATAAGGTGTCTTTCTACTTAAAACCCTCTTTGGAGACTTCAGTTTTATATGCAAAACATAACTATTGAAGTTTTTTTGTGAAATTATTAACGTTTCTAAATGGTTGCGTTTTTAGGGTCATCCTTGTCATGCAGTGTCTTTTGAAGTTTAGCATTCTAAACTTGTTGCTTGTTTTGCATTAAGTATTTCTATGGGTCTATTTTCTGAAACATGCAACCTCAGGTAGTTACATTTGATTAATGGGCTCTATGCAAGGCGTTATTTCCGGTGAAGGTGTAAGGATGCTCGATAACTTCCGCCGATCATAGAGTCCAATGCAATACCGAGAATTTATATTGAATTTTATACTCCATGGTTATACTAATGAAACGTTAGTCACAAAAACAGATAAAACAGACACCCCTCGTTGTGTTTATGCTTCTTTTTAAAATTATATTAAATAAACATAACTATATATAAAATTACATCTAAACGTATGTACGTTTCGTTTCAAAGACGGGAGAACAGTAAATATTGAAGACTCTGCCATAATCCCGTTTTCTCCGGTTTTCCTCCGCTTTAATCTACACAACCGGAAATGGACGAGCATCCTTACGTCAAATGCGGAACTTATGCGTGCATATAGCCCATTAGAAGCTAATTATTTACCCCATGTTGAAAATCCATCAGGAAGCTAATAGTAGCCATTGCCCAGGACTGAGGTGTCAATATTAGGTAATGTTAATTTGTATTATAATTATCAATATTTTAATATTTAAACTTAATAAATACACTTAAAAATAAAACCTCAAAGAATCTTCCTAAAATTGATGTCACTTCCTGGATGATCATGGCTTTTGTGGCCTATATTTCTCATTTAAAACCAAATTCCCAAAAAACACGATTTGTTTGAGTTGTCATTTAAATATAATAAGTATATTTTTAAATTGACAGTTTTTTGCTAAAATTGCAACAACGATATACAGTACATGGCCAAAGAAAATCATTTAAAATTCACCATCATGTCTGCCTTTTTAAAAGTATGTAAAAATGCTTTTAAAAAATTGTATCCAGTATATTAAGCAATACGTGAATGGGACATCAGAAATGCACCACACAGTAAGAATGAACCATAGGTAGTATATTTTGATATTTTTTTCTTTTTTTCCATTTGTTTTTCATCTGTTTGTTCGGAAATCGCATGTCTCATAGGATTTGAGGGTTTAGGATTTATCCTTTGGTATGTCCTGAAGAAACCTCGCACATAAACCATGAGGATGCAGGTCTTATTCTAAAGTCATAGTGTTTCTTATGGTGTCATATATTAAAGGCAGTGCCAAAAGAACCCAAACCTTCGAAGCGGTCCTCCATGTCTGCGACTGACTGGTCAGAATCCCCTAAACATCACAACTCTTCTTACCGCTCCACCATATCCAGTTCACATGACGTTAGTCCAGTTTACAAGGTGCCAACTGTCTCTTTCATAAATCTTGACTACGAGAGCATCACGTATAATCCTGTTAATGCATCGCTCAAATGTCTTTTGTGGTTTCTCTGTAGTTTGATGAGAATACCGCTTCCCCTCCGATTAGGCAGCCCAATCGAGAGCCGCTTGTTTCCCTTCTTAACACTGCTTGTGTTGAGGTGATGCACACACTTCCATCTATAGTTAATGCTTTAACCTGTAAATCAAGGCATTTATGCAACGTAAAGTGTCTTAATTAAAATTTTCGTAATCTCAGGTTGATGACCAGGGTATGCAGGACATCCTGAGCTGTAGACCTGCGAGCCGAGCTCCTGTGGTACATCTCCGCTACGCAAGGATAGTTTATACATGTATTAAACATTCATTTTAGTGGCTCATGACAGTTTTTTCTTCTGAAGGCACAGGAAGTCAAATCTGTCTCTGTATCGAAGTACTCAAGGCCTCATTTGAGTCAGAACAAACCCTTGACAGACATGAGACTTGACTGCGATGGCCAAAGAAAGGTTTTCCCATCACACCCGCTTTTTTTTAGGGACTCCCGTGTGGCTCCAGAGGACTCTCTTCGTGTCTCGTTTGACCTTTCCCAGGTTTGCTGATAATTGTTGTTCATTTGTTAATGACATGGTACACTCTTAACAATAAAGTTTCTTTGACATGGAACCTTTCCATTTCTTTATACTGGAAAAGAGATCTTTAGATGTTCTTCTCGCTAAGAAAAAGGGGTTCTTTTAAAAACTGTTGACCGAGAGATTCATTGTAGAACTCAAAATAGTTCTTTTTGGAACCTTTATTTTATTAAGAGTGTATTTGGTTTTAGTTACAATGTTCCATCATTTACATTGTTGGTTTTATCAGGGGAGCTGTGGCTCACCAGAAACCCTTCCCAAGACAAGACAGTCCAAAATCACGCCTTTCCTCTCCCAAATCACTTCTGTCCGAGGACTTGATAGCAGCCAGACGGAGACACCAAAGAAGGAGATGGTAATTTCATGAGCTCTGGTGGATAATGGTGATGAGGAAACTTAGTGGGACACGTTTACGGCACACTTGTTTACCTCGGGTCATACCTGGTTGTGGTGTTATATAATGTTTTTCTTTCTTTTGTTTTTGAAGTGAAAGCTGAAAACATGGATCTTCAGAAATTGCTGCACATGCAAGGATTTATGGTGTTCGATTTCCCGCCTCGGTGTTCACATCATTGTGGTTTTTGTCTTTGTGCGCAGGTGGAAAAGATGTCAGCCATTGATCAGACCCCGAGGACGGTAGAAAGAGATCTGCTAAAAGAGATCTTTCCCGATGAAAACCTCAGCACTCCCACTGGAATCAGGTATGGAGGGGAGGTTGTTTCAAGAATTCGCACTGAACAAACACCAGGGGCCGGATTCATGAAACATTCTTAAGGATTAAATTGACATTAAATTAACTGCCCGTTTCTTCTTTTTTTTTTTCTTTCTTTTTTTAAATGTTTCTTAAAGTGATCTTCACCCAAAAATGAAAATTATGTTATCATTTGCTCATATACACAATCAAATAACATTTAAGCATTTCTTGCCCCTTAGACATGAATACATGTGAGTTTATTAATAATATAATAAGGTCAATTATTAAATCTAGGGCTGTCAAACGATTAATCGCGATTAATCGCATCCAAAATAAAAGTTTGTGTTTACATAATATATGTGGGTGCACTGTGTATAATTATTTTGTGTGTATATATATAAATATATATATATATATAAATACACACACATGCATGTATATTTAAGAAAAAATATTAATTATATATAAAATGTGAATACTGTGTATGAATACAAACGATTAATCGTTTGACAGCCTTATTAAATCCATAAACATTTATTTCATGACATTTAACCTAAGCCAAATTCACCTAGTCATAAAAGATATTTTTAAATAATAAATCTAAACAAAATGCATGTTATCAACCCATAAAACTATACAATTTTGGAAGTCTTAAATTGTCTACACGCAAAAAAAAAAACCAGAAGTCTCACATAGTGAAGGATTCTGCACTGCAAAAAAAAAATATATATATATATATTTTAACATTTTTTCCCCATGTAAACCTTTTTTTAAAACAAGATATACTTTTTTTTTTTAGAGAATCTATATCAAATTAAGTATATTTTTCAATTGTGTTTCTAGTGCCACCTGTCGCCGGCCAATCAGAGGAGCAGCTGGCCGGCCCCTGAATGAGACCTGGCTGGACGAATCCCGTCTCCGTCTCACAGAGTTCAGAGAAACCAGCTCCTCCTCCTACAAAGAGACCCGATCAGTTCCACGCGTGTCCGCCATCCCTCTAGCGGCTTCCAGACCTGCGGCGCCCCCTGCTGTGAAGACCAGAGCACGACGCAGCCTGCCTGTGTGGGTACAACTTGTGCTGCTGAGCGTGCTCGCTGGATTCCTGTTCTTCGTCTACCAGGCCATGGAAACTAATGAGGTTGGACTCTTCAAGCAGAGCGGGGCCGTTGACGGCACTAGCAAATGAACGTCATGCGGCTCACCCAAGTCTTTGCCCTCTTTATCATACTCAGCCAGTACCTCCCTTTGATTCTGCAGTCGTGGACTTTTAACTGAGATCTTTATATATTCATACAAAGACAGAAACTCACCGATTTTGCTTTTTTTTTTTTTTTCTCTGCTATCATACCCTCTTTGAGATGAACTGGTTTAGAGGAATGAATCCTGGTTTTAATTTTAAAAATCACGTTTTTTGCCTTTGTATGTTTGTGTGTTTTTCTTTGTTTTGTTTTTTTATTAATGATAGTGTCGTCCTTAAGTCGGAAATGCTGAAGGAGTTGGCTAAATACACTTGTTTTGTTTGTGAACTACATTTAGCGTCTACTTGTGACAATATTTTTGCATTTATTTTCACATCTAGCGCTTTAAAGGTGCCACATTCATCTTAACGTTGATGTAGTATTTATGTACATGTTGTCGGAATACAAATATTTTTCAATAAACTGTTTTGCAATGTATTCTGGAAGATAAGGTCATTTCACTATTTTATTATAGTTTTCATCATTTCATTTTTGTTATTTCAGGATCTTGCAGGTGGTTTTATAAAGCGTAACATTTCAGCAATTAACTAATAACACCAACTGAAAGGGTTTGCATCTAAAAAGCTTACATTTGTTTGCTAAAATTTCGATTATATACACTGAAATTTGGAATATATACATTATAAATTGTCAATTTAATCAACTTTTTTTAAAAGTATGTCTTTGGAAACAAATTTGTGTTAATAAACGCAAGAACCTGATACTTTATGTATTACATTGGTCGAATTGGACAATGTGTAAACTGCCCATTATTTAGCCGTTTACTCTGCTTTAAAAACTGATTTAATAGCCTGATTCTGTATTTATTTTACATTATAAGGTGCTGCAGATTTGTGGGATAAACCTGGGAGGGTTCAGATACTTTTTATGTAAATGACAGAGTGTGGTTTAATAAAGCCTTTTACCTCATTTTTTTGTGTGTCTATATGTTTGACCTAAATTATGACATTCCCTCTGCTAAATGTTGTCATAGGGTTCCTCGCAGACGAACTGGAAATTCTGACCTCACTTTGATCTTGAATAGGTAAGGATAAGGATTCAAGGCTCTTTGCTCTGGTCCAGGAATAGAATAGTTTAATCGCCTTACACTACGCACTCCTGTGTGTAATAAGCTCACACCATGAGCTCAAGTTTGCAGTGGGTCTCAACTAAACAGTAACAAATTTAGTTGGATTCATATTTACACCAATAACTTGATACACTAGCTGTTTTGGTTTTGTCTGTTTGTTTGAATGAACGCTAATGTGGCCCATAATACCATCATAGCTCTTTCCAATTGCAAGTCTCTGTAGTGACGTCACAGAAGGTCAGGGGGATTTAGTCTGAGGTCATCTGATGTCTCAGATCCGCCTGCCGCTGATGCACCCAGGAGGCGTCGTTTCCTTACAACCGACAAGTGAGTGTACCGTTTCTCTTTAACGTGAATTTTCTGAAATATTTGAATGAGAGATAAATACTGTTCCTCAGGAATGTATGTAACAACAAAACCCTAACTTTTTGTTATGATTTTGCCAGTAAAGCCCTGGTGAAAATGTACCCAACCACCTTAACACAGTTGGCACGGTCGAATCCTTTCCAGACTCCTCTTTTCTCCATTAAACCAGATCAGCGACACGAGAGCCGGCAGATAAAACGCAAACTTGCTGCAGCATCTCATAATGGTAAGAAGTTGTTGTTCTTTATCTTCTGAAGTCGCAAATAGAATTTGACGTGTTGAATAGGCTTTATGTCCAAGATTTTATTTATTTATTTGTTATAGAAATTCGAAAAGGTCATGGATGTAATGTTAAAGCTCAGTGAAATTACACTGTGCTATTTTTTAAAGTGCTTGTCATTCCATTCTTAAAGAATTAACTTCCTCCACAAGGATTACACGTCTGGCTAATAGACTTAATTGTCATGATTGCCTGCTAAGGCACTTTTTCTCAAGACTGTTAAAAGGAAAGTTAACCCAAAATGAAAGTTATATCACCAAATACCCGTTCCATCCTCCATAATAGGAGACATTTTGAATAATGTGCTGAATCTGGTTGTTTTCTTCAATGCAATTACAATGAATGAGGACAAAAAGCATGCAAATTCGTTGTGTAATGTAGTCAATACGATTTTTGAATTCTATTCCAAGTCTCTGGCAGTCATGCAATAGGTTTGTGACAAACAGGCTCTTTTTCCCAGTTTTTACACTGTTATCTGCTGCAACAATGTTCATTGGGGAAAGTTTTTCAAAGTAAGTTTATGACAACTGTCATTAGGTGGCTTTCGCTCAATTATGACATTTTGAATGCAAATATGACATTGTTTAAGATGTCTTTATGACATTTTGACATAAACCATAACATCATAACCTGTCAGTGTCTTTGTCATGACAACTTGAAATAAAATGAAGTTAAACTGTCATGTGGTTGGCTTTGACATTGGCTGTCATGAGGCCCTTATAACTGTGTCATGAATATTTTTCGTGACCTCAACTACAGTCGTACACATTGAATTTGACATTAAAAAATTAGAATGGCTTCATGACAGCCGATGTCAAAACCAACCACCTGACGGTTTAATGTAATGTTAACCAATAAAGCTAAGTGGTTTCTTAAGTTTGATAATTAATCTGACATGTTTATGACAAGTTGTGTTGTCTTAGTAATGTCAAATTGTCATGACAAAGACACTGACAGGTTATGATGTATTGGTTTATGTCAAGGTGTCATAACAAAGACATCTCAAACAATGTAATACTTGCATTAAAAATGTCAGAACTGAGCGAATGACACTTAATGACATAAAACTTCCTTCATATTCATAACATATGTCAACATTTTAACAATCTTACTATGAATATTTTTCCACTATATTCATCTTTTGTGAAGTTTAAAGTTTCCATGGATGTTAAATGTTCTCCATGGAACCATAGGTGCCAAAATAAGCTTTATTTTTCTTCAAAAGAAGTGTGACTTATGATTTTCCATTCTATATTACACACACAGTATTGATATTTGTGATCAAATTTAAAGGGAATTGTCGTGATGTCAAATGACGAGTGTTTTCCTCCCTCAGATGCAGAGGTGAGCTGTGAATATGGGTCAAATAAATTTTACGCCCTCTGCGGTTTCGGTGGTGTTTTGAGCTGTGGCCTCACACACACTGCAGTCGTGCCCCTCGACCTCATTAAATGCCGCATACAGGTCATTTAACATTAAAAACTAAACAAGTTACCAACTTACCAGGCAGACATTCGCTAATGCATAATTCCTGTTGTCAAACAGGTGGACCCGGGTAAGTACAAGTCCATCTTCAATGGCTTCTCAGTCACTTTGAGAGAGGATGGCGTGAGAGGGCTGGGCAAAGGATGGGCTCCAACATTCATTGGTTATTCCATGCAAGGCCTTTGCAAGTTTGGGTTCTATGAAGTCTTTAAGTCTCTGTACAATGACATGCTTGGAGAGGTAAGTCTACATGTGGGATACACATTCAAAACAGTTATTTGAATATATCTGTGCTAGATAGATCTAAAGCTAACTGCTGTCGTTTGGTTTGGTCTGGTAAACAGGAGAATGCTTATTTGTGGAGGACGTCCGTATATCTGGCAGCATCAGCCAGCGCGGAGTTTTTCGCCGATATTGCACTGGCTCCAATGGAAGCGTGCAAAGTGCGCATCCAGACACAGCCCGGCTACGCTAACACCCTGAGGCAGTGCGCCCCCAAAATGTATGCTGAAGAGGGGCTAAACGCGTGAGTAGATCCTTAACTCTCTGCTCTTCCTCACTTAAAGGTCACACTTGTGTCAAAATAAACTGGATTTGTACTATAATGTATATATAGTAATATTTATTCTTTAATATATATTTTTTTATTTTGATGGGATTTCTTGGAGTATCTTTTGCAAAATTTAATGCTGATTCTTTGTCATTATTTGAGTAAAAATTGTTTCAGTGTACTAGAGACCTATATTTTCATGTAGCACCTATATTTTAGTATTCAAAGTATTCTCCTTGGAATTTTGCACCATTTATTCCTACTAGTTTTATTTTAGTGTTATTCATATTTTTAATAGGCTTTCTTATGATGTTAAATTTAGTTACATTTTGTTATGCCCTTTGTTGTGCATTTATTGAAATATTGCTATTTAGGTTTATTTTTTAATTTTGTCATATTTTTCATTTATTTGCCGTTTATCATTTTAGTCATTTCATCATTTAAGTTTTTTAACTAAGATTTTATTTTATTTCAGTGAACAATGTTTTAATAGTTTTATTTAAAAGTAAATGATGATAACCATAATTTCTATAAAATAATACATATATTATCCAAAATAAAAGTTTGTGTTTACATAATATGTGGGTGCACTGTATATAATTAATTTGTATATATATATAAATTCACACACATGCATGTATATGCATATATTTTTAGTTATATATGCATATATGTATATAAATATATTTTATATTTTTTTATAAAAAAAATATGATTTATATATAAAATATTTATATTTATATATAATATAAATTATATATAAATCTATATACAGTATATACATGGAAATATTTCTTAAATATACACAAGCATGTGTGTGTATTTATATAAAATAATTATACACAGTGCACCCAAATATATTATGTAAACACAAACTTTTATTTTGGATGCGATTAATCGCGATTAATCGTTTGACAGCCCTAATAAGTAAATATTAATTAAATTAAAAGTTAAAATGGAGTTTGTGTTTATATTATGCCCTACTTGATAATTATTTTTTTTTACATTTACATTTATTCATTTAGCTGACGCTTTTATCCAAAGCGACTTACAATTGCTATATATGTCAGAGGTCGCACGCCTATGGAGCAATAGGGGTTAAGTGACTTGCTCAGGGACACATTGGTGTCTCACAGTGGATTCGAACCGAGGCATCTCACACCAAAGGCATGTGTCTTATCCCCTGCGCCATCACCACCCCACTAGTAATTCTATATTTTTCATATAAAATACTTTTATTCGGTTTTGCATGTGGATATATTTAGACGTTATCAAAGATTATTTCATTGTGGCTGAATTGTAACCAAAAATTGCTGTGCGTGCATTCATGTATGTACTTCATTACCCATGAGGCCCTTCAGAAGACCTATATTGTGTGCTGGAGAACTGATTGTTGTTGTCTGTGCAGGTTCTATAAAGGTGTTTTTCCCTTATGGATGAGGCAGATCCCCTACACCATGATGAAGTTTGCCTGTTTCGAACGAACCGTGGAGATGCTGTACAAACACATAGTACCAAAACCCCGCAGTGAATGCTCCAAAGCTGAGCAGCTGGTGGTGACCTTTGTTGCTGGTTATATTGGTAAGTGCTCGGGCCCTTAGATACAAGTTTATAAACTTTGTTAAGAGTGCTGGCTCAACTTTGCATATAGATACAGATAGATGAAAGCTTTGCTGTGTGTCTCCCCTCAGCTGGTGTGTTCTGTGCTATTGTGTCCCATCCTGCGGACTCTGTGGTGTCTGTACTAAACAAAGAGAAAGGCAGTTCAGCTGTTGAGGTGTTGAAAAGACTGGGACCTGTAGGTGAGTCACAGCACACATACCAGTCAACAGCAGTGGATCACAAAGAAAACCTGAGGAGTTGATTTTGCCATAATGACCAGCAAGACCAGTAGATAAATTCATGGACATGAAATATTGATTTGAATTGCTATTATTTTAGACATTAAAGCGTTGTTAAAGGGTTAGTTCACTTTGAAATTAATTTTGATATGTTTTAGCTTACCTCAAGGACATTCAAGATGTAGGTGTCTTTGTTTCCACAGTCAATTTTGATATTTTTAGGTCAAACCATTCTTATCTATCAGTCATATAATGGAGGTCTATGGGGTCCACCTTAAAGAGCATGCCCAGAGAAGTCATAATTAAACATGATTTAAT